AGTTCAATCATTCCAGTCTTGTAATCTTGACAGCTCTGCACGCGCGGTTGCCCGCGCCCTCGTGCGCTCTACCCTACCTGCTCCGCGCTGTTGCTCTGCACGCGCGGTTGCCCGCGCCCTCGTGCGCTCTACCCTACCTGCTCCGCGCTGTTGCTCTGCACGCGCGGTTGCCTGCGCCCTCGTGCGCTCTCCCGCCCCGCCCCCCCCCCCCCCCCCCTGGGTCCCCTGGACAGGAGGGTGTGGGGGTGGCGGGTGTGGGGGTGCTCCGTGTGCGTCGCCCCTTCCTTCTCCTCCGTCTCCCACTGCTGCAGCTGCCGCTGCGGGGGTGGATGTGTGGGAGACGAGGGAGTGGCGCTAGGGGGGTGATGTGGGCGTGGAGCGAGTGGTGACCCTGGGGGTGTGTGTAGGGGGGAGTGAGACAGTTGGAGGAGGTTGCAGCCTGGTGCTCCTGGTGCCCGTGTGTCTGCAACTTCAGTCGTCGCCTCCTCTCTTCTCTCCCTCCACAGTTCCTCCTCCTCCTCACTGGCCTCCTGTGACTGCCACTAGCTTTGCTCATAAAATGTGAACTACTATTATGACTGCTTGTTGTGCTGATTACACCCCACTTTGGCTATGGGGGTGTGTCAGATTATGTTGTTTGTCTAGCCTGCAGTGGGGTGCTCAATAGTGAGTACAACCCCTTAGGGTTTCCTATATGTATCCTGCTGCTTGCTAGTTCAACTCATCATTCCCATTCTCACTTCTCCAATTCTCCTTCGTATACCCCAAACCCTAGTCCTAGGGCACAACCTACTACCTCCTAGTGTGGGCCTAGGCTACTAAGCCTAGGCCCCACTCCTATTGTTTCTAACAGGAGCGCGCGGCGAACAGTAGGGCAGCGGAAGCAGTTGGTGGGCCCGTTGAGCTAGGCAGCAGGATCTTGCCCGCTCTAGATACCATGTCAGGAAGAATAGGAGCGTGGCCTAGGCTTAGTAGCCTAGGCCACAGTAGGAGGTAGTAGGTTGTGCCCTAGGACTAGGGTTTGTGGTATACGAAGGAGAATTGGAGAAGTGAGAATGGGAATGATGGTTGAACTAGCAAGCAGCAGGATACAAATAGCAAACCCTAGAAGGGTTGTACTCGCTATAGAGCACCCCACTACAGGCTAGAGCATAATATTCTGACACACCCCCATAGCCAAAGTGGGGTGTAATCAGCAGAGCAAGCAAAGCAGTACAAGCTCAGGGTGGATCACAATGTCACCACACATTCTGAGCACAAGTTCAAGAAGCAATAGTTTAAAGTTCACAATTATGAGCAAAGCTAGTGGTAGTCACAACGGGCAAGTGAGGAGGAGGAAAGAGACTATGAGAGGAGAGGAGGTAGTGGGCGGCAGCTGAAGCTGCTGGCACACGGCGCAACTGGAGCAACTGGCACACGGGCAACTGGAGCAACTGGCACACTGGCAACTGGAGCAACTGGCACACGGGCTACTGGAGTAACTGGCTCCGCGGCTGAAAGTAGCGGCAGACGAGCAACGGACTCACGGGCGACTGGAGCAACGGGCTCACGGGCGACTGGCGCAACGGGCTCACGGGCGACTGGCGCAACGGTCTCACGGGCGACTGGAGCTGCTGGCTTCACGGCGGCCACCCCCTTCAACCTCCCCAAACTATCCCACTCCCCCTGACACACACCCGCTGCTACACCGCTAGCTCCACTCCCCCTTCACCCCCCCTTAGTACCACTCCAACGGCTCCAACAAGTCCACCCCCCCTCAGCGGCAGCTGCAGCACAGGGAGACGGAGGAGGAGGAGGAACAGGGAACGGCACTCAGTGGCTTCACCCCCATACCCCTCACCCCCAAACCCTAATTCAGGAGAACGGGCTGTAGGAGGGGTGGGGCGCCAGTAGAAGCACGGGGGACAGTGGGGAGGGCAGGGGCAGCGAGGAACGGGCCGCCCACGGGCCTGGCATAGCCGCCCGAACCGCGCGCAGGCGGCCCGAGCCGCGCGCGGGCCTGGCGCTTCCCGTACGGGCCGCGCGCGGGCCTGGCGCAGCCCGTACGGGCCGCGCGCAGGCCTGGCGCAGCCCGTACGGGCCGCACGCCGGCTGTACGGGCCGCGCGCAGGCCACGACGGGCGACGGGGGGCGACGCGCGGGTCCCCGTCGCCCGTCGCAACGCCTCCCGGGGGCGACGCGTCGAGTGACGGGGCAGAAGCCCGCCGCGCGCCTCGGGGCGCACAGCGGGCAGAGAACCGCCGCGCGCCACGGGGCGCACGGCGGGCAGAAAACCGCCGCGCGCCTCGGGGCGCACGGCGGGAAGAAAAAACTGCCGCACGCCACGGGGCGTGCGGCACATAGAGTAGCAGCGGAAGTTGCAGCGGAAGCAACGAGGTGGTGAGCCCACCCACAGGATCGATCCAAAGGGATCGACCTGCTCTGATAGCATGTCAAGATAGTAAAGATAGTTAGGAGCCATAGCTAGGAGAACCCTAGCTAGGCAAGAGAAGTTTAGGCAAAGAGAGGTTGCACTAGTAAGAATGGGGATACAAATAGCAAACCCTAGAAGGGTTGTACTCGCTATAGAGCACCCCACTACAGGCTAGAGCATAATATTCTGACAGAGCATACGGCCGAGCTTGCTCTGCAGAAATAACATTGTTCATGTCGAGTTGCATGAGGTGTGGTTCGAAAACGGCGATGATGCTGAGGAAAATTCGCAGCGTGACGTAGCTGCCGGTCGGCGCGTACGTCTCGTCGTAATTGGCTCCGTAGACCTGCGTAATGCCCTTCACCACCAGGCAGGCTTTTTCGCGGGCGGCTTTGTCGACGACATGGTACTCCGCCATCAAAACCCTATAGTTTTTCATCGCATTGACGTCGTGCGGAAGCTCCACAAGCTCCCATGTGCCATTGGAGATAAGACTACGAATCTCCTCGTCCATGGTGGCCTTCACCGACTTGCCCACCTGCTTCCAGCCCACTCGCTTCCGCTTCTGGCATGGGGACTCTGTAAATATTAACCGGTATTCTATCAGACGATTCGACTAGGTTAAGAGAGGTGCATTATGATTCAATTCACAGCCTTCCCATTACGCATCCCCCTTCACGTCACCGCTCAGATAACGCTCATTCGCTTTTGTTTTTTTGCACAGAGGGTCAGCGAAGCTCAACCAATACTTCATTAGTGATTTCAAATGGGTTGGGAACGTTGCAATGTGGTGACGCTGTTCGCTCTACAACCCTTCCCCCTCTTCAACCCCGTCTTTCTCTGATTCAGGTGGTGCCGACTCGCTTCGCTTCTGGCTCAGAGGCTTTAAGAAGATGAACCAATACCCCATCTATGAATACTTCGCTCCCTCCTCTCCAAAGTCCAACGCAATGCAAAGAATGTGCATGTGTATGTGCATGCCCACCTATCCTAAATCCCCCCGGTGTGTGCCCTCAGGTTAAGCTCGCTCGCTTGCGCTCCATCAGTAAATACTTCACGCTTGCCCCTCCTCGCCACGGTCCAACCCACTACGAGGTGCGCGTCGTGCCCCGTTTGCCTCTCTTCTACAACCTTTTCTCTGCAGCCTCTGTCACTCCCCACACACTGCTTCTAACTCCCCCCCATAACGTTTCCCCTCCCTCACATCTATCTCCTCCCATCTTCTCACCCCTCTTTGCACATATATGCATCTTGCCAGAATGCCCTTTCGCCATCCATGGGAGCCCATCCATGGGAGCCCATCCATGGGAGCCCATCCATAGGAGCCCATCGATCCATGGGAGCCCATCCATGGGAGCCCATCCATGGGAGCCCATCCATGGGAGCCCATCCATAGGAGCCCATCGATCCATGGGAGCCCATCCATGTGAGCCCATCCATGGGAGCACCACATACCTCAGCTTCCTTGCTACCTCCCTGACTTTCCCCACCCAAATATCCCCATACCTCCTCCCCCGCCCCTCCCCCTGCATCCCCTTGCTGCATCTGTTTCCTGTACGATCTGCCGCGCATCGCAGTGAGCATCGTGGAGTGCTGAGCTTGCCAGTGACCCTAGTCCCCCCCACCCTTCCACTCCCAACCCATCCTCCCTCTGCAGCGGTGTACTTCCTCTACAAGCTCTCACCCGTAGCAATGAGCATCACCGAGTCGCACCGAAGCTTGCCCACTTGCGCCACTCTAGTACTCTTCGCATCCCCCCTCTCTTCCCCTGCCCCTCTGCAGTGGTGTACTTCCTCTACGACCTCTCGCCGTCACCTATCGCACTGCAGCCACCTCAGTCTCAGCCCTTCAACTCTCGTTCCCCTGCGCATGTCCCCCTCACGGTTTCCCTCCTCCCTCTGCAGCGGTCTACTTCCTCTACAACCTCTCGCCAGTGAGCATCACGGATTTCTGAGCCACCCCAATCCCCACCCTTCCACTCCTGTTTCCCCCCACCCCCTTCCTCAGCTCCCGTCTCCCCCCCTCTCCCTTGCAGCGGTCTACTTCCTCTACGACCTCTCGCCCATAGCACCGCAGATTCCTCAGTGTCCACCCTTCTACTTTCCTTCTCCTGCCCCTCTCCCCCTCTTCCCCTCCCCCTTGCAGCGGTGTACTTCCTCTACGACCTCTCGGCCATAGCAGTGAGCATCATGCAGTGTTTGAGGGTCTTAGTCGCCCCAATTCCCAACCTTCCATTCGCGTCCCACTCCCCACCCCACCCGTCCCCCTCTGCAGTGGTGTACTTCCTGTACGACCTCTCGCCCATAGCAGTGAGCATCACCGAGTCGCACCGCAGCTTCCTTCATCACCACCCACTTACTCTTCCCCCCCCACCCCCCCCCCCCCCTCCACTCCCCACCCGTCCCCCATGCAGCGGTGTATTTCCTGTACGACCTCTCCCCCATCGCAGTGAGCATCACCGAGTCACACCGAAGCTTCTTCCACTTCCTCACTCGCCTCTGCGCCGTGCTGGGCGGCACCTTTGCTTTCACAGGTGGGTGGAACGGCACATTCGCCCTCACAGGTGGGTGGAACGGCACATTCGCCCTCAAAGGTGAACGGCACATTCGCCCTCACAGGTGGGTGGAACGGCACATTCGCCCTCAAAGGTGAACGGCACATTCGCCCTCACAGGTGGGTGGAACGGCACATTCGCCCTCACTGGTGGGTGGAACGGCACATTCGCCCTCACAGGTGGGTGGAACGGCACATTCGCCCTCACAGGTGGGTGGAACGGCACATTCGCCCTCACAGGTGGGTGGAACGGCACATTCGCCCTCACAGGTGGGTGGAACGGCACATTCGCCCTCACTGGTGGGTGGAACGGCACATTCGCCCTCACAGGTGGGTGGAACGGCACATTCGCCCTCACAGGTGGGTGGAACGGCACATTCGCCCTCACAGGTGGGTGGAACGGCACATTCGCCCTCACAGGTGGGTGGAACGGCACATTCGCCCTCACAGGTGGGTGGAACGGCACATTCGCCCTCACAGGTGGGTGGAACGGCACATTCGCCCTCACAGGTGGGTGGAACGGCACATTCGCCCTCACAGGTGGGTGGAACGGCACATTCGCCCTCACAGGTGGGTGGAACGGCACATTCGCCCTCACAGGTGGGTGGAACGGCACATTCGCCCTCACAGGTGGGTGGAACGGCACATTCGCCCTCACAGGTGGGTGGAACGGCACATTCGCCCTCACAGGTGGGTGGAACGGCACATTTGCTCCTCTGCCCCTTGTGCTCTTTTTCGTCCTTTGTGGCTCCATACTTCCTCACGCGCCTCTGCGCCGTGCTGGGCGGCACATTCGCCCTTACAGGTGGGTGGGGCGCACAGGGGGGTGGGGCGCACAGGGGGGTGGGTCGCACAGGGGGGTGGGGCGCACAGGGGGGTGGGGCTCACAGAAGGGAAAGGCTCAGTTTAAGTCGAGTCGAGCCTGTTATCTGCCTGCCCTGGGCATCCCGTCCCCCTCCAGGCATGCTGAACCGCTAAGTGGGTGCACAGCGTGTTGCACCTCACCAGCTGCCCTCGCCGGTAGCTCCTGTCTCATGCCATCCTGCCAAGCATCATGTCTGTCGCTCCCTCTCTCGCCCTGTACCTCCCTGCCCTGGCTATCCCCTACCCCTCCATCCCATCCCGCCACCAGGCATGCTGGATCGTTGGGTGTACAGCCTGCTGCAGCTCATCAACCGCCCTCGCCATGCTTCCTGCCCTCCTCTCTCATGCCATGCCGCCCTCCCTCTCCCCCTGCACCTCCCCGCCATGCCCATCCCATCCCCCCACCAGGCATGCTGGATCGCTGGGTGTACAGTCTACTGCAGCTCATCAACCGCCCTCGCCATGCCTATGGGAAAGCTGCTCGCCTGCACTAGCTATGGTTCTCAGTGAAGGCATCTTGGGGTGTGTAACGCAATGTTTAATGGGATGAGTAACAGGATGTGTAACCAGAAGATATGCACGTGAGTAAATTGGCCCGAAATTGCATGGAAAGGGGACCCTGGGGTCCTAAAAGAAAAGGTGACACACCCCTGCTGTTCATCTTAAGTTTCTCGCTACCCTATGAGGACTGCTGGGTCTTAAATCTGGGTCTGGGAGCTTACGGTACAATGATGATACACCGGCTTATTCCTCTGTGGCGTGGCGCCCCAACATCACACGGGAGGAGTTGGTCCAGCATTCATGTGCTAAGCTGCCTGCTGCCATGGTGAATATGTGAGGGTCACATGTGGGAGGTACAGTAATACGGTAGTAGAGCAGGCAGGCATGGAAAGAAAATGGTCACATACATGGCGCTGATGCATCAACCATGGGAGCAGGGATGCTGTAAGCTATTTTGCAGCCCAGGTATTGTACTACCATACATTATGCAATGATCTAACACATTTCATTGCAGATTCATAGAACCTACACCATTTCTACAGGTGATTCTACTTGCGTTGCATCACAAACAGCCCAGCCAACCAAAACAAACAAGAAATCCCATCCCTTCGCCTCCAGATTCAAGGCAAGCTACCACACAGGGCATGCAGTGGAGATGGCAAACTCAGATGGAACAACAAGCACAGCACAGCTCAACATTGCAAACTCAGGGTGCCCTTGACAGCGGTAGGCTGGCAGCAAGCTCGATTAGTGACCAGCTAATCTGGTTACCAGCTCAGTTGTACCAGGCAATGCACTTCTTAGGCTTGAGGCTGCTGCTGTCGCCCTTGCGGAGAGTCTTGGGCAGGATGACGTCATCCACACCATGCGCCACCACCACTCTGAGTGACACCACGTCAGCAGCCACCACAGCAGCTTCGTCCTTACCGCCCTCTGCCTTCACCTTGACCTTCTTGGACCCCGCAGATGACACCTTCACCAGACGCGCCTTGCAGTAGTCCGCTGCAGCTTCGTACTGCAGAGGGAAAATGCAGGATGGGGGTGGCCACAGTGTGAGTTGATGTTAGAAACGAGAGGGGAAACGAGGGTGGATGAAAACGAAACAGACTAGTAAGATATGAGTAGCGTTGAAATGCGTAGGCTCTGTTTTTTTTCCTCACCTGATGCCCCTTCTGTTCGATCAAAAGGAGCACGATCAGTTGAAATGCCGCATTAGACAGCGTAGGATCTCTTTTATCCTCACCTGATGCCCCTTCTTCTGTTCGATCAGCTTGGCGTTGGACTTCTTGCCCTTGACGATGTGCAGCAGCAGCACCTCGCGAAGCACCTTCTTGTCGCTGAGCTTAGATTTGATGCTGCTCGAGAGTTCCGCGAATGCAGCGTCGGTGGGCGCGAAGACGGTCGCCTCGTAGCAGTGGAACAGGTCGACGAGGTCCTTGTCCAGCCCTGTTGAAAGAAAACGTGAGAGCGCGTTGGGTTTGGAAAATGAGCGAACAGAATGTCTGATTTAGGTAAACGTAGCAGCGGAACAGGTCGGGCAGATCCTCGTCCAGCCCTGGGGGAAAACGTCAAACGTGAGAGAACGTTTGGTTAGGAAAACGAGCGAACGGATGAATTCATGAGTTGAAGGGCGTGGAACGTAGCATTGGAACAGCTCGTGCAGATCCTTGTACGGCCCTGGCGAGGCGCGACGACAGCGGGCGGAACAAAAACAAAACGAAAGAATTCAGTGAGCAAAAAAAGGTTTGACGAAGATACAGATTCTCCGCTCCCACTCGGAGCAAATTATCGATTCTGACCTGTTTTCCTCAGCCCGTCGAGGAACGTGGAGTATTTCTTGGCCGCCTTGAGCTCCCTCACCAGGTTGCTCACCACCAGCTTCCCGTCGAAGCGGCAGTACGGCCGGTGCACGGCGTCCGCGGCCGGCGTGGAGGACAGGCTCACGAGCGACACGACGAGCAGCGCGACGGCGCGGAGGACGAGATTCGTAGCCATGGTTGCACGTAATGTTTGAATCTGTAGGCTTCAAGAGTTTGAAAGCTGTCCGAAAGAAAGAATTATGTAAGAAGCGGGGCGAATTCTGCGTGAAAACGTTGATGTTGGGATGAAAACGAAGCAGAATCTGCTCGGTATTTGTACTCTTGAGAAATCGTCAGATCCCTGAGTCTGAAGTCTCCCACCCATGTCTTTATGGGAAGGGAATGTTCAGCGACACGGGCGGGAGCTCGCAGCTCGCTTCTAACGCGGATGGGTAGCTGTAAATTGAGCGGTTTGATGATTGCGCCGCGGAATGGGCGACTCGGGAAGCAGATCATCGCGTCGCCGTCGGAGATGGTTCAACCAGTGGCTAGGGTTGACGTCACCATGCCTATACAGTAACAGTGGGAGCTGTAAAAACGCCGTGGCTTTGTTCAAGGGGGGCTGGCGGGGGGCACCGGGGGTGTGTTGGTGGGGAGGGGAATGTACGGAAGGGAGGCTTGGGCGCGCACATGCGCGAACCGACGCTTAAAAGTACATGTAATTGACCGCTCGCGAACCGCCACCAGCGACTCGGACGGCTGCTTGTGGGGTGACGAGATTGTAAATCTTATTGTGACCGTCGACGGTACTACCTAGCTACGATTGACACTTCGAATGGTGATTCTTGAAGCTTCTGGAACCACTGTAGCGTGATTTCTGGGTCTCGATAACCCACCTGCATACTATTTGGAAGCTAGGAACTTCCCTAACAAAAGTTTTCGACACTAAATTAGGTGTGAACATTCGGAATGAACATTCAGCGGCGAACAGTTTTGGGAAGGGGTTTGTGGCTGCGTGCACAGAATAGCTCGCGATATTAGCTTTCAGAGTTTGGGTTTGTGTTACGAGTGCTATTTAGTGAGAAATCTAGAATTGCACAATAGTTGCAGAACAATACCACGAGCAAAATGTTAAATTGCAGAAATAATGGTAACGGTAATGGGCGCTCGCAAAGGGTGCCCTTCAGGCGTAGCGCCGAGGTTTGGGAAATGTTGAGGCGTAGGCCCGGGCCGGAAGTTACCAGCCGAGTCGTTGGTTCGGGCGCAACAGTGGTGGTTACGGGACTATGTTTGGATGAAAGCGGTGGGTGTAAGCAGTGTTTTGCGCGGTAGAGCTGTTGATACAAAGTAAGAATGGTTTGCAAAGGGGCGGTACATTGGTGATATCAACAAAGTTGTACTCCGTAAAAAGTACCTCGGTGTCAGAAATTTTATTTTATATATGTAACGCAACTACATGTAGCGGCCTAGGGTAGCAGGCGAAGGGGTGGAGTAACGAGCACTGATAACGTCGATGTATTCCTTCGCCGTCCTGACCTGGGAAAAACGAGTGCTTTAGGGGGGAGGAAGCTATAAGGGCAAGACGTGCAGCCGCTTCACACGTCATCCAGATTCCGTACCTATCCTGAGTTGTGGCGTGGCCCTGCTTTTGTGCATCTGTGGTTGCATTTGTGGTGGCATCAATGAGAGAAGGAGGGTGCGCGGGAGGGAGGGGGCTCATTGGGAACGTGAGCGAGGAGGTACACGCCATCTAGCACTTGACCTTCCGCATCAAAGCACAACACGAGCTAGAGAAGCGAGGAGGACACCACAACGGCCAACAGGAACAGGACTAGGAGCTGGGAGCTGGAACGGCAAGGAACCGGCGCAGTAGCAGTAGTGGAGGCAGAAGTGGCTCTGGCGGCGGCAGCAGGGCAGGCTATAGAGGTGGCACGGGCAGTGGATGTAGCAAAAATTATCAGCTGTGCTGACAGCGGATGCAGTGTGGGCAACAGCAGTTGCGCGGGTGGCGGTTGCTGCACGGACAGCAGCGGTGGCGTGGGCGCCGGCTGCAGCGCGGGCGGCAGCAGTGGCGCGGGCGGTAGCAGTGGTGCGGGCAGCAGCAGTGGTGCAGACAACAGTTGCAGCGCAGGCAGCAGTGGTGGGGTGGGCGGCAGCTGCACCATGGGCGGCGGCAGTAGCAAAGGCGGCAGCAGCAGTGCGAGCTACTGCTGTGGCACAGGCGTCAGCTGCGGAGCGATGCCTGGATAGAAATCATTTTTTCCCAAGGTTTGTGCTGCGGATCCACTTACACCGTCTCTTCCTGCGCGATGCCTTCCTGCGCCACGTTTTCCTTCGCCTTTTTCCACGCCATCTCTTCTAAGATAGCCTGCTGCATCGGCGCCATCTGCTGATCCCACATCATCTGATTATACGCCACTTGGTCCCTCAGCCGTTCCTCATATTCCGCCTGCAACCGCAGCCAAATATTATACTCCTAATCCTCTTCTCCCGCATTTCCCGCCTCCCCATTCCCCTGCTCCGCATTCGTGGGTTCGTGATTCGCCGCATCCGCATGATCCGCCAGCCCATCCTGCCTTTCCTTTTACTGCCTCTCCCGTTCCTGCTGATCCAACCACAAGTTATAATACCACTCATCACGATCCCACCACTCCTGATCCCGCCTCTCAGCGTCAAAATTACTAGTATCCGCCTCGCATTGCACGTCCGCTCCAGACTTTCCTTCTTCGAACACTCATGCACTGCATTCTCATTCTTGTTCTCGTGCTTCTCCGGCTCCGGATCCTCACGTCCCTGTTGCTTATCCTTCAGCCTCCGCATCTTCAGCAGGTCTTTCTCCTTCACCTATTGTTGCTTCGTCACATGCTCCTGCGGCTTCTGCTCCGCCTCTTCCTGCCGCTTCTCGATAACTCCCAGCTGCATCACCAGCCGCTGCTCCTCCGTCATCTGCATCCACTGCTTCAACTGCGCTTTCTTCTTTCCAGCCGCTTCTTCAGCTTCTCCAGCCGCTGCTTCTTCTGCAGCCGCTGCTCGTCCGTCAACGACTCTTGGGGTTTTGTCCCCTGAACTGCCAGCTTTCTCTTGGGTTTTGACGCCTACAGCTGCTCAGTGAACTGCTGCTTCTCGTCCTGCTGCCCCTGCTGCTGCAGTTTCCGCTGCTGCGGAGTGTTTTGTCGTGCTCGCAAGAGAGTGCGGTGCGAATTACTATAGTCACCAACCTGTCAAACATCATATATGTTGTGTTTGTTTAGGCTACAGTGGGTTAGCCTATAGGGGGTACACAATTCTAGGGTTAGGTACTTGTACTGATTTCACTGTTAGTTCAACCATTCCTGTCCGTTCATTCTGACATGGTATCAGAGCAGGTCCGTCACTAGGACCGTTTTAGGGCCCACCGTTACCTACCTACCTACCTACCTACCTACCGTGCACCTTTTCCTACAGCTCACTGCCAAGGAGGATATCTCACTGTACGACCACGCCCTAGGCCATGCTACTGCCCCTGACACTTCTGCTGACAGCACTATGCGCTCCCAGTGGCAGACTCGTGACGCGCACGCTCGCTTCGCTATTCGCAACTCCCTACCGCTAGACGAGCGCGAGCACTTCGGCCAGTGCAAGACTGCTAAGGAACTGTACACAGCCGTAGTTGCTCGTTACTCCTCACCGGCTTCTGCTACACTAGGCCGCCTCTCACTGCCCTACCTGTTCCCCGATCTGGCCTCCTTTCACACTGTTGCTGACCTCATCACCCACCTCAAGACTAGTGAGGCCCGCTTTCGCGCTGCTATGCCTGCCGAGTTCCTTGCTACCAACCCCCCCCCCCTCTGGCTCACTCTCTACCACATTGTTACCCGCCTCCCTGACTCTCTGCGCGCAGTCAGGGATTCCTTTCTAGCTCGCTCCCCTACTGAGCTCACCATTGCCCTCCTCGAGAAGGACCTACTTGCAGCTGAGGCGAGCATCGTCGCCGTAGGTGCCTCTCGTGGCGAGCCCCGCACCCCCTTCTTTGAGGGGTGTTCCCCTTCCCCCCTTCTCCCCTCTGTCGCCTCTGCTGCTGCTGTCGACCTTCTTGGTGCTGAGAAGGTCGGGACCGCGTCTGCTCCGAGCGGGCGCCGCAGGAGCAAGGGGGGCAAGGGTGGAGGTGGTGGCGGGGGAGGCGGGGGTGGTGGCGGTGGGGGTGGAGGTGGGACTGGAGAGGCTAGTGGCGGCAGTGGGGATGCTGACAGCAGCGGCGGGAGCAGTGGCAGGGGCGGAGGCGGCAGCGGAGGCGGAGGTGGTCGTGGCGGCGGCAGGGGTGGAGGTGGCCGAGGCGGTGACGGCGGCGGTGGTGGTCGTGGAGGCGCTGGCGGTGGCCAGAGCCAACAGCACGCCCCGTCGCTCCAGGAGGCACGTGAGTGGTACTCGCAGCGGGGGGGGGGGGCGGGTGGCTTTACCTGCACGTACGTCATCCGCACTGGTGACCGCACTGGCCAGACGTGTGGGAGGCCGCACCCCACGCACCGCTGTTTCTCGCGCCTTACCGACGCTTGGCGCGCTCAGTTCCCTGGCGGCGCTGAGCTTCCCCGCTGGGGTGATCTGGAGAGGAAGGGAGTTGATATCTGGGCCTTAGACTTTGATGCTATTCTCACTGCCATGTATGCGATGTTTACTAGTGGAGAGGGTGCTCAGTACTTGCGTGTTCCGCCCGACCCGGGCATTCTGACCAGTCCGGCTGCCGCTCTAGGTGCTAGTGAGTCTGCTGCCCCAGGTCCTGGTGAGGCTGCTGCTCTAGGTGCTCGTGAGTCGGTCCCCCCTGGTACTGAGTCGACTGCAGCACTTCACACCTTCACACTGGACTCTGGTGCTTCTCGCTGTTTCTTTCGTGACCGCACTGTCCTTGAGCCACTCACTCGGCCAGTTGCTGTCTCCCTCGCTGACCCCTCTGGGGGTCCGGTCATTGCGACCTCCTCCACTGTCCTTCCTTGTCCTGCGGTCCCGTCAGGCACACTGTCAGGTCTCTACCTCCCCTCATTCTCTACGAACTTGGTGGCAGGTCGTGCGCTCCAGGACGGGGGTGTTCACCAGTTCACCCCTGCATACGAGCGCGTGACACACTGCACGTGTGCTCGGACGGGCCGCCACCTGGCTACCTTCACTCGAGAGCCGGGGTCGGACCTGTACACACTGACTACTGAGTCCCCTCAGGTAGCTGCGTCTGCGTCTGCGTCTGCGTCAGGTCAGCTGTCCGCCCCCTGCTCGTGTCGCTCTCTGGCGCATGAGACTGTCCTCTGGCACCACCGCCTTGGTCACCCGTCTGTGCAGCGCCTTCGGGCCATGCACAAACGGGACCTTGTTGCTGGTCTTCCCAGGGTTCTCCCTCCCCTCCCACCCTCGCCTGCTCCTCCCTGTCTTCCCTGTGTCGAGGGACGGCAGCGCGCCGCTCCTCACTCCTCCTCCTTTCCCCCGACGACCGCTCCTTTGCAGACGCTCCACATGGACGTGTGGGGCCCAGCCCGTGTCCGTGGTCAGGGTCAGGAGAGGTACTTCCTGATAGTTGTTGACGACTTCTCGCGCTACACCACGGTCTTCCCCTTGCGCACCAAGGGTGACGTCCCTGATGTCTTGATCCCTTGGATCCGCAGATCTCGTCTCCAGCTTAGTGAGCGTTTCCGCTCCGACTTCCCTGTCCTGCGTCTGCGTTTTCCTCTGGCCTCTTGGAGGCCTTCTGTCAGCAGGAGGGCATTGAGCAGTCGTTCACGCTTCCGGCCTCTCCACAGCAGAACGGGGTTGCTGAGCGCCGCATTGGCTTGGTCATGGAGGTCGCTCGTACCTCCTTGGTTCATGCGGCTGCCCCCCACTTTCTGTGGCCGTTTGCAGTCCGATACGCTGCGCATCAGCTCAACCTCTGGCCCCGTGTCTCCTTACCGGAGACTTCTCCGACACTGCGTTGGACGGGAGAGGCTGGCGATGCGTCGCGTTTTCGGGTCTGGGGATCCCGAGCTTTTGTTCGCGACACGTCCGCGGACAAGCTCTCCCGTCGCGCTGTCCCCTGTGTCTTCCTTGGCTTTGTCCCGGACGCGCCTGGTTGGCAGTTCTACCACGCCACCTCGCGTCGTGTCCTGGCCTCTTAGGACGTCACTTTTGACGAGTCTGTCCCCTACTACCGCCTCTTCCCCTACCGCACTGCCCCACTCCCCCCCCCGCCTCTCTTCCTGGCTCCAGGTGCTGAGGTACCAGACCCCCTCCCCCCTCAGGGTGCCGCTCCCTCAGGTGTGTCCCAGGTAGACCCGGGTGAGCCTGTCGAGGTAGCTGTTGACTCTCGTCCTGCTGGGGGTGCTGAGCCTGGGGGTGCTGAGCCTGGGGGTGCTGCGTCTGGGGGTGCTGAGCCTAGGAGTGCTGAGTCTGGAGGTGCGGAGCCTGGGGGTGCTGAGCCTGGGGGTAGTGAGCCTGACGGTGCTGAGTCTGCGGGTGCGGAGCCTGGGGGTGCTGAGTCTGGGGGTACTCCACCTGGAGGAGCCCTCTCCTCACAGCGGCTGCAGGAGCGGTACCTACAGTACTGCCGCCTCCGGAGAGGTACTGCTGGAGCTGGTCGCGGTGCTTCCCCTCCTGCCCGGGAGCTCCCCCCCATTCAGGTGATCCGAGAGTGGTACACGAGGCGCTGCAGTCTTCGGAGTGGTGCTCCTGGTGCTGCGGACCTGACTGGTGGAGCTGCTGCTGGTCCTGAGGACCCGAGCGGTGGCGCGGCTACTGGTGCTGAGGACCCGGCTGGTGGAGTTCCTGCTGGTGCTGCGGACCCGGACGGTGGAGCTGCTGCTGGTACTGAGGACCCGAGCGGTGGAGCTGCTGCTGGTACTGAGGACCCGGGCGGTGGAGCTGCTACTGGTGCTGAGGACCCGGGCGCTGGTGTCTCTGCTCCTTCTGGAGACGCTACGCGGCCACGACCGTACTTCGTACCGCTCCTTCAGCAGGTTCTTGGTCAGGCTCCTCCTCCTCGTCCTCCTCCCTCCGTAGAGTGTCCTCCGCCTGTCCAGTTGCAGTCACAGTTACCGCCTGCCTCGCCTCTTCCTGGTCCCTCTCCTTACACTGGTCCCACAGGAGGTCTTGCAGAGCGTCGTGAGCCTGCGTCTCGTCCTACGTCGCCTGTTCGTACTGCTCGCACTGGTCGTCGTGTCCCCCGTGAGCGTCCTCCTCCTGTCCCTGGCACTCACTACATGACTCTGCGTCCCTCCACTGCTCCTCAGCGTGTCCCGCTGCCGTCTCCTCCTGCGTCCTCTCTACCTACTCTTCCTGATCCGGAGTCTGACTCCCGTCGTGCTGCCAGTCCCACTGTCACCCATCTCCTCGCTACTGTTGTCACTGACCCTACCTTTGAGTCCTCTACTGCGTCTGCTCTGGTCGCTGAGTTGATAGACTTTGCTGCCCGGTGTCGTCTAGACTACGCCACTAGCCTTGTTGCTGAGTCTGAGTCTGAGTCTGTCTGTCCTCCGTCCGTCGGGGGTGAGTGTGCTCTTGGCACGGACGTCCTTGAGGACAGACAGGAGGAGTTCCAGTGCTTTGCTGCTGCTTTGCCCCACCTCGTGTCCATGCTAGTTGCCCCTGAGGGAGACCCGGATGCACCAGACATCCCGACCCCGCGCACTTACGCTGAGGCGATGGCGGGTCCCTACTCCTCTCAGTGGCAGACAGCCATGGACGCAGAGATGGCTTCCTGGAAGTCCACAGGCACCTACGTCGACGACGTTCCCCCACCTGGGGCGAACATCGTCAGTGGCATGTGGATTTTCAGGGTGAAGCGGCCACCGGGTTCTCCTCCTGTCTTCAAGGCGCGCTACGTGGCTCGAGGCTTCAGTCAGCGAGAGGGAGTTGACTTCTTCCAGACCTTCTCCCCCACCCCGAAGATGACCACTCTTCGGGTGCTGCTGCACATAGCCGCTCAGCGCGACTACGAGCTTCACTCACTTGACTTCAGCACTGCTTTCTTGCAGGGCAGCCTGCACGAGGAGATCTGGCTGCGCCGCCCTCCTGGCTTCACTGGGTCGGTTCCTCCTGGTACCCAGTGGAGGCTCCAGCGGCCGGTCTACGGTCTCCGCCAGGCACCGCGTGAGTGGCACGACACACTGAGGACGACACTTGCGGCTCTTGGGTTCGCTCCCTCTACTGCTGACCCGTCACTGTTTCTACGCACAGACACCTCGCTGCCGCCGTTCTACATCCTCGTGTACGTCGACGACTTGGTCTTTGCCACTGCTGACACCGCGGCACTCGCCCACGTGAAGTCGGAGCTGCAGAGGAGACACACGTGCACAGACCTGGGTGAACTGACAAGCTATCTTGGCTTGCGGATCACCCGAGACAGAGCACGGCGCACCATCACCTTGACTCAGTCACACATGGTGCAGCAGATCCTTCAGCGCTTCCGCTTCACGTACTCCTCGCCTCAGTCCACTCCTCTGCCTACCGGTCACTCGCTCTCAGCTCTGCCTTCGGATGAGTCCGTAGAGCCGAGTGGCCCGTATCCAGAGCTTGTGGGCTGCCTCATGTACCTGATGACCTGCACTCGACCTGACCTTGCATACCCTCTTAGCATCCTTGCACGCTATGTCGCTCCTGGCCGTCACCGGAAGGAGCACATGGATGCCGCTAAGAGGGTGTTGCGCTACTTGTGCAGTACGTCGGGCATGGGGCTAGTGCTTGGAGGGCGAGACCGAGTTGTACTTACTGGACACTCAGACGCTTCTTGGGCGGACGACCAGGCTACTCAGCGGTCGTCTCAGGGTTACACCTTCAGCCTTGGCTCCGGCTCAGTTTCTTGGCGTTCTACACGCTCTTCTTCTGTTCTCAGCTCCAGTTGTGAGGCTGAGATCTACGCCACAGCCATGGCTGCCCAGGAGCTACGCTGGCTGACCTACCTGCTGACCGACTTGGGAGAGCGGCCTCGTTCTCCTCCAGTGCTGTACGTCGACAACCAGGCTGCCATTGCCTTGTGTGAGGAGCACAGGCTGGAGCACAGAACGAAGCACATCGCCCTGCGGTACTTCCTTGCTCGAGAGCTGCAGCAGCGTGGTCAGCTTCGTCTGCGTTACGTGGCCACTGAGGCCAACCTTGCTGATGTGTTCACCAAGGCGCTTCAGCCTTGTGACCATCAGCGTTTCTGTACTCTTCTAGGCCTTGTGCCTGCTGGACCTCACTTACTTACTTCTTGACTCTGCTTGTACTGTGATCTTTATATATATGCCTGCATGTTTACACTTGCTAGGTTGTGATCACTGTATCTCTTGTTATATTATCAACCTGCATGTGAACTGGTCTTGTGACCACTTGCTTGTGCTCGGAATTTGTGTGGTATCCTTGAGATCCACCCTGAGCTTGTTTTGCTTTGCTTTGACTGGTCTTGTGACCCCTAGTTCTCCCCCACTTTGCCTATGGGGGTGTGTCAAACATCATATATGTTGTGTTTGTTTAGGCTACAGTGGGTTAGCCTATAGGGGGTACACAATTCTAGGGTTAGGTACTTGTACTGATTTCACTGTTAGTTCAACCATTCCTGTCCGTTCATTCTGACACAACCGCAGGAAGCGAGTGCCGCCCGACGAACAAGGCTTGGTCTAGTACGAGTCCGCCTGTAGTTAGGGAGATTTTGGGGAAAAAGTTGGGAGAAGATTCGAGGTATAAATTTCGAAATTCATTGCCGAAAGGCAAATTGCTGGTCGACGGGGGGACAGGTGAGAGGGTGAAAACTGCGTGAGGTTGAGATCCTGGGAGGAAAAAGCGGGGGGGGAAGCGAAACTGCACCGACAGCTACTATCTCATCAGAAGGGAAGAAAAAATCAAAGGGGAAGCAGTACTGCACGAAGCTGAGAGCTTGTTCTCATCATGATGATTACTAATCATGAAATAGGATCTCCGCTCACTTATCGCGGCAGGTTGCGCTCATGTCATACGTTGAACACGTGCAAGTCGAGTGTTTGAGAAAAGCTTGTTCCGAGCTCCTTCGCTGCCTCGCGGCCCGCAGGATAGGACCAGACTATAAGAGGAATCTCAATAGCAGCATGGTGACGAATTCGACTTGAAGGGGTGGTAGAAAAGGCAGCTTATTAGTTTGCAATAGAT